CTCTCTCTCTCTCTCTCTCTCTCTCTCTCTCTCTCTCTCTCTCTCTCTCTCTCACCATGCCGCATGCTTATTGATCCCAATCTTGGGAATAGCTCGTAGATCTTGTTGTAGTACCATTTGTGAGAGTGGCTTATGGTATGGATTGTGGCTTCAAGTGCGTGCTTGTGTTTGTGGGATTAGCTTTCCATTTTGTTAATGCGAGGTCTCGATGCCCTTGTGTGTTTTTGGCCCTCAGGTGTTGGAGAAGGCGAAGGGAGAAGAGTGGTTTCGACCAAACGAAACTCTTTATTCAAGAGTGATTGCGATCATGGCAAGAGCACAGCAGCCAGATGCGGCACAGAAGCTGTACGATGAGATGACAAGCTACAAAGTAGTACCCACGGCGCTTTCACGTACGGCATTGCTCTCTGCATATGCGCGAGTGCTCCAGCTGGATGTCGCTGAGGGCATCTTAGAGGATATGAAGTCGTCGCCGAGTCGACGCACGAAGCCGACAACCCGGACATTCACCGTGCTCCTCGACGTCCTCGGCGAGGCTGGCGCTTATGAGGAAATGACCAAGCGCTTTCAGCACATGGGTGGCGCAGGCTATGTCGCAGATACGGCCACCTACAATGTCTTGATCAAATGGTATGGGAGAGGCGGGCTCTTTCGACACATGGAAAATGCGTACAAGGACATGCTCGAGAGGGAGTGGAAGCCGGACTCCTTAACCTTTCAGGCTATGGTGGAGGCGTACGCGCAAGGGGGTCTTGTTCCGGAGATGGAGGAGGCGTGGGAGCGGATGAAAGAGGAGCGCGCCTCTCCGCGGGTCGCAACCTGTCATGCAATGGCAATGGCTTATGCTAAGAACAATGATTTCCAAAAGGCTGAGACGATGTTGGAGCGCATGGTGCGTCAGCTGGCCAAAGTGCCAAGCAGGGTTCGAACCCGGGTGATCGACAGCTTCTCCAAAGACGCAGCCATTCCGCAGGAGAGTAGCTATGGCAGTCCAGATTTTCTGCCATCTAGCAATCGTGGTACTCGGTACCGGCGTCATCTGCAGCGAGGAAGTGCTGTCGAGGAAAGGGGATCCCTCTTTATTGTAGGAGACGAGGACAAAGCACCGGAAGCAAATACACGAGAGAATGAGAACGAGCATGAGCAAGCAACGGTGGCGAACGTCACATCGGGTGACGTAAGCGAGCAGCTTTGCACAAACTCCCGTCCGAACGGGGGTTCGAACCATGGCTGCCAACAGCAACAGCAGGTGACGGTTGTCGAGGAAAGCGACTCACGTCTTGATGCAAGACAAAAAAAACAAGGTCACATTTTGAGCATGGAAGAGCGCGAGTGCGAGGCCAGTGTCGAGACGGGCAACTTAAGCGACCAGGTTCGGACGCACACTCCTCCAAGCGTTTCAGATCGTGCCCACCGTGATCGCCAAATGTACACCCTGTACGCTACAGGTGTCGAAGAAAGCGATTTTTTGCTTGTTGGAGCGAGACCTGCAAGCCCAGAGAAGGCAACAACAACAAGAGCAAAAGAGCAGGATCACACGACTTCGACTTTTGCAACTGTAATGATGTCAGGGGACTTAGAGCAACCGCCGCTTCGGTCAAGCAGCCCTGATCGAAGTGGTCTGACGTCTGGCCATCATCGTCAGCTGCAGGCCATGGGTGCAGAGGAAAGTGGCTTGCCTCTCATTGACAGACGTAGAGACCAACAACTGGACGCAACAAGAACAGAGGTAGAGCATGGCCAGATGACGAGTGCCGGAGCTAGCGCGTCGGGAGAGGTATCCGAGCTACTGCGCACAGGAAGCAGCGCCGGGAGTTGTGGCAGTCAGGTGGGTTATCGCACTTACAACGGAGATAACAAATTGGCGCAGAGTCGGGAAATTGTCTGGAGCCTAGTGCTGATTGGCTATGGAAGGGAGAGGCAGGTGCAGTGGGCGGCGCGCGTGTGGAAGTTGATGTGCAGTGCCGGCATTCGACCAGATCTCACGGCGTATAATTCCCTGATGATGGCCTTTGTAATGCGCTTGTCGCGCAAGCGCATGGAAGCGGCGTACGAGGAAATGAGGGAACAGGCCTTCGCGCCCGATCTGGTCACGTATTCCATCTTGATCGAAGGGTATCGGAGAATGGGCATGCGCACTAAGGTTGATGAAGTTTTGCAGGACATGAAGAATGATGAAAGACAGGTCACCATTGCAACGAGTCCGCCGTTCCTTACGGTCTATTCGGACCAGCTTTCCCTTTTCCGATCGCTGCGTGAATTTTTTTTGCCGAATTGTCCTGAAGAAACTCAGGGTCAGGAAGACCACGCAGCCTTCGGTGCGTTGAATATGGAGCACAGAGAACGCGACAGAGGTCGTGGCAGTACTTTCAGCGGCCGCGAGAACTCCAACGGCTACGATAACAGCGCGTCCGTGGGAAGTGGACGGCCCGCTGAAAAGGAAGACTCGGGTTGGTTGACATATACATATGCAGAGTTGATGGAGAAATTACGCGCCTGCACGAATCTGGACGGGCATAGCGATCAAGAGCAGCAACCGAAACAGGAAAAGGAATAGAGCACTATCAGAGCCTTCAGCAGGAGCTTCAGCACCGGTCGGCGGCTTGCTTCCGCAAACCTGGTCCGCGCTTCTGGGCATGGTTCACTTTGGCAAACCCGGTCCAACTTTCTCTGCAGGGCTCACCTCAGCAAAGCAAAGCTGGTCCACATTTCTGGGCATGTTTTTTTTTTTTTTTTTTAATTGTCTCTTGTCATGGTTCACTTTGAGTAAACCTGGATCACATCTCTGGGCATGGTAGTGGATTTTTGGGCAATCCATCGATTTTGTGTATAGCAGGATTGCACAAGAAAATTGAATAAAACAATTTGCCACTTCGTGTTGGATATTTCATTGTCCTTGGCCTCTACAACACCCTGGAAATTTTTTTCTTTTTTCTTTTTTGAAAAAAAAAAAGGAATATATCCGCAGATTCATCTCCCATAGCAACGTTTGTGAAAGCGAAACTGGCCTTGCAAGGGGCCAAACTGCAAACCTATGCATGTGAAACTACTACTGCCTTTTAGGACGGAGAGGCCCTCGGGGGGGGGGGCTAACGGGCCTCTCTTCAGATTTTGTTCAGATTTTGGCTTGGGGCTCGATGTACTGAAAATCAATCCTCATGTGAATGTGGGCGTGAATGTGGGCGTGAATGTGGGACAGGTACTTACAAGTTGATTGGACCGATGCGTGCTCAGTTCGAGCTATAAGTAGTGCGAGAAAGTAGTGTGAGAATTTCTCGCACTATTTACTTAGCTCAACGTGTTCGGGTGTTGTCCTTGTGGAGTTGAGAGAGGTGTGTGTCCAGGTTGAACACGACACAACACTACTCTAATTGCAGCCTTGTTAGGGGTGGGGCGGATATCACGGCCGGTATGGTTCCACTGTTAACACCGTGCCCTCGCTCGCTGTAGTGTGATTAAGAGAGAGACTTGGCTCATGAGGCCGAAGTCGCCGGTGCTAATCCGTGCGTGCATGGAGGGCTCGGGGGGAGGGCGGAGGCACGTTTGAGGATGGACCCGTATAAACAAACGTACAAGGAGGAGAGGGGTAATGGAGAAATTTTTTTTTTTTCTTTTTTTTTCCAACTTTTTGGTGAAGATGAAACTGCCATTAAGGAGCAGCCTGGCACATGCCATTTAGAAAGTTTTGGCTTGCACCTTTTTTTTCTTTTTGTTTTTTCTCCCTTGGAGGGTTTTTTTTTTTTTTTTTTTTTTTTTTTTTTTTTTTTTTAACGTCGACGACGGGCGTGGGGGAGGTGCTTATAAGAGCAGAGACCCCCTCCACTTACCCCGTTTGCGGATGGCTCCGTTCCATTGGTGGGGAGCTGCACCTGCTGGAAAAATCGGGTCCAGCGTCCCTTTACATGAAAGACAAGGAGCCATAGTTATCGTTGCAGTGATAGATAGAAGCTTTGCAGAGTCGTTGTTGCCTTTTGCAGACTAACAACACCCAGAAAAAAAACTCCCAGAAAAAATCTGTGTGTGTGTGTGTGTGTGTGTGTGTGTGTGTGTGTG